GTTTCTTTATGAAATCATACCTAAAATTTTACAAGGAAATAAAATAAGTCTCAAAGAATGCGTGTACAAAATATCACGTTCCTTGTTAAAAACTATATATGGGTGTACTAGTAACAAACAAAAAAGTAACTTCGATTTTAATAGTAAAAATTGACATGTTTCACAAAAATTTTACATAGCTATGACAGTAGACATGTTGATCGCGTGAAATCCTGTCTGACTGTTACACGTACTTCACAAAATGAAGCATTCAATAGAATTAAACTTGTTTATACATCAAAACTAATTGATTACCCTGTATCATATCAAACAAGACACACACTTGCAATTCTACATAATAATGAAGGAATCTGTGAAATGGTAAGTATAGTTCGCCAAGCTTGTATGGCACCCTTATCTCCACAAAATCTTTTTAATATAGCTAAGATTGAAGAAGGACGTGACAAACAATGGATAAGGAATTTAAATCAAATCACAAAACGTAATTCTGAGAGAGCACTTGAATTGCAAAGTTTACGTGTAGACCTTAATTTTTTTGATTGGGACCAAGTAATTTCTAAAGAAAGCATTTATATATTAATGTAATAGATATTATTAATTTTTTCCTTCCTCTGCCTGGCTTTTTTTAGGAATTAGTGTCTTATGGAAGAAAAGCTCAAGAACAAATCAATTCCAACATCTTCCATCCTTCATTTGCCTCTCATATAACTGATTTTGATGAAACAACTAAATGTCTTGCATGTCATTCATTTCCAAAATGTACTGCCAGAGGTCTTTGTAAGTTATGCAGATTTTATGTTGATAATGGACTGAAGAGCCAAATTGTTGATAAAAATTATCAATCAAAAATTGAAGTCTCGGAGAAAATTGATTTAGAGACAATGTATGAATCAGCACTTAATGGAATTTTTGGTTTTTCAGACTTTCGTGATGGACAAAAAGATGCAATCTTATCTTTTGCTCAAAATCATGATACTCTTGTTCTGAAACAAACAGGTGGTGGCAAAAGTCTGTGTTATGATTTAGCATCAGTTATGACAGCAGGAATTATTGTAGTTTTTTCTCCATTGAAGGCACTAATTGATGACCAAGTCCTTGAATTGATCAATGCAGGAGTACCTTGTTGTGGTCTTTATGCATCAACAGCACAACCAGTTCATTATCAACAAAAAGTCTTTCAAGAAATTTCATGTGGATTAACAAAGGTAATTTTTACAACACCTGAAAAATTCAAATTCAACATTGGATTTCAGAAAATGTTAGAAAGAGTTGGTGCCGACAATGGTATTAGGTTTGTTGTTGATGAAGCACATTGCATTTTAGATCAGGAACATTTTAGGTAATTTTTATAAATAAATACATCTTTTTCATATTGACTCATTTATTTATATTCTTGTTTATTTAGAGATTCATGGAGTTATTTGTGCAATCTTAAACAAAATTTTCCAGTTGCACCAATTTTACTTCTATCAGCCACATGTAAAAATATTGATGCACAAGAAATTGTGGCACGTCTTGGTATAAACCATCAAAAAATATTAGTAATTCGTGATAAATATTTTGGAAATAATTCAATTATTTTCCAAGTACAAAAAAGAAGGGACAATAAAGAACAATTCTTGGAAGATATTCTGAGGGCTATTAATGAAGTTGAAGTTGGAAAATGCATTATTTATTGTGCATCTGTAAAAGGATGTGAGAATTTATTATCAGATCTCCAAGACAAGATTGCAAAAGAAATAATTACTATGTATCATGGTGAATTTTCTGCTAAAGAAAAGTCCAGTGTGCTATTGCTTTGGAAATTAGGTAGAATTAAAATCATTGTAGCAACTAATGCTTTTGGAATGGGAATAAATGTACCAGATGTTCGAGTAGTTATCCATGCATGCTTTCCAATATCTATGAGTAAATACATATTTGTTTATTTGCAATAAAAATTTATATTCTAAAGTTTTTTTTCAATTATAGGAAATTTGATGCAAGAGAGTGGTCGTTCAGCACGTGATGGATTACCAGCAAAAACAATAGTGATGTTCAATAGAAAAGATATTAGAACAGTTATGGGAATTTATTCAGGAAGACAGGAAAGGTAATGGGTTATTGATTTATTGATTATTTACCCATTCAAATTCTCATAAATTATAGCTCAACCTTTAGTGAAGAACCTGAAGACTTGAACCATATCAGATATTTAAATGAAGCAAAACATAAAATGAGAGAAGTATTATTTTATTGTTTAATGATTTATCAATGTCATAAACAAGCACTTGTCAATTATTTTGCTTGGCCAGGAGATCCTATGCCTGAGGTATGTATGGTTTGTGATAATTGTGTACGGAGAATGGCTGATAATCCAAGTTTTGTAAATGTTAAATCAAATATGCAAAAGATGTTAGAGGTTATAGATGCAATTAGTAAGGTAAAACAACAGGTAAGTAGGAATGATGTTGTAAATGTATTTAGACAGTCACAGGCAAAGGATATAAAAAATCAGTTTGGTCATTTGCCAGTATATCAGGAAAAATTTCCAAGAATCTTAAAAACAAAAGAAGATGCCTTTTTACTATTGGATGATTTAGTTTTACGTAAATTAGTTGAAGAAGATATTGTATTGACTAGGTCATCAGCAGGTCAAACTTGTGTTTGTAGTGTTTCTATTCTTGGCCTTACTGAAGATGCATTTGCAAAAGCCAATAATCAAAATTGGATATATCTGATAAAATAATTCTTTTTTTCAAAAAAAAATATATATATATAAACAAACACTTTTCAATATATATCAATAATTGCTTTTTTTAAAACCTTATTTCTGATGATTTATTCAAATTTAAAATATAAAAATTCTCATTTTATTTATTATCATGGTGTATAAATTTTTGATTTGTCACACACAAAATGATCATCATTGATTAAAAAAAATTTTGCCATACATTTCTATATGATGTACTGTGTAACCGAACTCTACCCTTAATGATAATGAAATTCTAAATTAGAAAATAAAAAAAAATAAAAATCTTCTGATACAAAATTTTTTTGATAGATTTGTAATAAACTAAAGGATTATTTTATGAATGAATAAATTTACTACTTATAATTGTTACATTTTATTATCATATGTATATTTTATTTGTCGTATGTATTATCATATTATTTATTTTATTGTATTAGTATTAATATTATTGTACAACGTATCACGTGATCGTTTCATAAATATCTTGGTTTTGCGGATATCTCTATTTAGCGGATAATTTTTTTGGAACATCCGCTAAATCGAGATACACTGTGTATAAAAAAGATCAACAATCGATTTTGTCACAAAGTGATAAAACGAATGTCCATTATGTTCATTTGTGATCAACCAAATTCTTTCTTTCTTTTAAAAAACAAAATGCCTCGGCAAAAACGAAACCAACAAGAACTATTGATTGAGAATGAAAGAAACGGGTAAGTGTTGTTTATCGTAAGAATGTGGTTATTGCCACCACTCGTCACTCTAGTTGTTAAAAAATTTTGTTTCAAAAATAACCTGTTTAACTTAAATACATGGTACATCTCTTAGAACCTCTGCTATAGTTGAAATAAATCTTAACAGTCTGGATGAATCATCTGATGGATGTGACAATATAATTGACAATCCAGATGATATAATTAATATTGATAATACATCCTCGAGTTTAGGAAAACGCGTACGTAAAGATGAAGAACATGATGGAACCAAAAAAATAATTATAGACTTTTCTAATCACCCATTATTGGAGACATATTCCAAGTTACTTTTTAATTTACAAAACCATCATGTGGAGGAAGACTCCCAACGTGCACGGCACTTGTCCATAATGTTAGAATGGAGTGTAGTAAATTATGAACTGTTCAATGAAGCAGGTTGGATTGAAAGTCCACAACTAATTAACATCTCAACTCAAATTAATTGCTTATTGTCATAGTAACAATCGGTCAGCTCAAAATACTAAAACAAAAAATTTTACATCATTGTAAAAAAAGTTAACCGATAAGTTTTATTGTTCATGACTCCAGCTTCGAAAACTTATCAGTTAATTTTCTTAATTAAAAATCGGCTGAGCCTTAGCATTTGAAAATTCCAAATTTTATTATTATTGTTGTTATTGAGACAGTAAATTTCGTGTAACATTTTTTTCGCAACATACATTCATTGATTTACTATTACTTGCATTATATCTATTTCCTTTTTTTATTTACAGTTTGACATTTAATTAAAGAAATCCATTACCAAATATGGTAGTATGGCTCAAAAATTGTAACACACAAAATTATTACCCCAAATTTAGGATTTCTGAATTTGAATGGCGGTAGTTTTTCAAAATCCAACATGTGGATCGTATGATATTTCAAAATTTTTAACCTTTGATATTATAGATGATCCGCATTTGTATTAACGATAGGAACTATGGTTTTGGTAAGAATTATGTGTTTAGGTCTTGGCAAGAATTTAGTTTTCGGATTTTGTTTTTTCCTAAACTAGTTTCGGGCAGTTTCGGTTTCGGGGTTTCCCTAAGTTAGCATTAGTATATATTAGTATCAGAGTTTCGGGTCACAACATTTGATTCTTATCATATACACCAAAAGTTGGCGCACGTTTTAAAAATCACCATTTTGCAACTTAGGTTCGCCAAATTATATGTGCGAAATTTCATATCCATAACATTTTTATTAAGCTAAAAAAATCAATTGTTCAAAAACGCACATAACAATCATACCCGAAATTCAAAATTTAATAATAAAGTAATAATTAATTCTATATCCAATTCTCCTTGGCACACTCTTCATCAATTTATTGGGACATCATTTGTAATTTTACCGATTCTTTTCGATTTTTTGTAATCACATCTTTTTTATCAAGATATTCTTGTTAGTTCGAGACATTATTGCTCCATAAACCGATGATTCCGCCATCACATGGACTATCATTTAAAGCTAAAACATTTACTTGAAAATTTTTGTTCAAAAATTAAAAATGATGTCTACAAGAAAAAACATAGATGTTTATTTAATATTTTTATTATTATTACATATCAAACTTTCGGACGAGATCATTATGTTCGTTTTTGAACAATTGATTTTTTGAAATGAGTAAAAAATTTTTATTTTTTTTGTACATATAATTTGGTGAAATCAAAGTTGCAATGAAAAAAAATCTGAAACACACATAGCTGGTCAATATTGGTATGTAGAGCAACTTTTACATACAAAAGAATTGAGTATCTGAATTTGGCCAGTCAATATTGAATTTGAACTAGTACTAGACAAAAATGAATAAAGCTTTCACTTCAATAATTTACAATGATCAACGGAAACTTTTTTTCAGTAAGAGTAAAAACGTCACAAATGCATGTAATAGTAATGAATGCTTGCAGAAAGAGCCATTAAGGATAGGTGCCAGCCTAACGTATATATATGAATTTCAATAAAATAATAAAATCTGTAGTATGTCAAAAAAAAAGTCACTAATTATGTATTTTTAAAACTTTTATTTTCACCTGTTTATTTTATAAATACAAAAAAATTTTTTTTTTTGGCCATACATGAGTCATGTGAACGAAATTTGACTATGCCGATCATACGTTGACTCTATCCTTGGAAATGTTCAGAAAATTGCGTCAAGAGAAACATTGAATATGTTAGATAATATGGTGTCAAAAATGAACCAAGCTTAGAATATCGTTATCAGAGCTAATAACAATCAACAAGGATAAAAAAGAAATCATTATAGAGAAATGGAATTGTATACTCTGTTGTTCAAGTTGATGAACAACGCACATTCTAACTTTATGTACAAACCAAAGGTAAGTGAACCATTTCTATATGATCCTGAAACAAACAAATTGCAAGAAAGTGCATCCACAAATGTCCTTTAATACCTGTGAGCATGATTTGTATTAAATCTTGTTGTAAAATCTTTTTTCTAATACATATATAGAAAGGAATTTCAACAAGAATATCAACAACCATCAGAAAATTCAATAATGCAAGTTTGGTTGATAATTCACAAACATTATAGCTAAACTTTTGTCACCTGACCAAATGCGAGAGGTTCTTGACAAACTTGGTTTGATGAAAATGATATGAAATCGTGGAATCAATCTATTGAAGTTCTTTTTGGAGTGTCTTCAACTCTCTTTGCAGCTAGAGAAACCACCCTCTCTAGTTTGAGCTTTCGAGATGTTGACTTTCATCCAGAGTTAGTTGAATACGCCATTGGCCGTGGTGAAATCCAAATTTTATAACAGAGTTAAATCGGTTCTATCTGGTGATATTATACATGAAGGGAACTGATATCATAAATATATACAAATTGGAATCAAAAAAAAAAACAAACGGAATGACTACAAGATAATGCCATCAAGACAAATGTAATCAAGAACAAAATTATACTTTCTTTTTATCGTGGAGTTGGTAATGTTATTGCAACAGCTTCAATAAACCACTAATTTGGGCAGAGTTTATATACTACTCAAAATATCTATTATGCTCTCAAGTGTGGAAGGAATTATGAGAATGGTGCGATTATTGGGGTGATTCTGGTGGTTGGAGGAGGAGGCTTTGTTTGAATGATGCAGAGTGGAGAAAAGATTCGTTTGTATTGACAATCAAGCACTGCGAAGGACGCAGATAATCCAGCATGAAGCAGATATTTTTTACTAGGATGTCAGTTTCTTTGAACAATTCATGTTACTATCCCAATTTTTATAGGATGGTGCAAGTTGCTTGCAGGACGCCGGCAGGTTTTATCTGCTATAATTTGTCAATGCTAAATTATTGAAAAAATTGAATTTACTAATATGATTAAAACTTTAAAAGAAGTAAATACATCAGAAATTTGATAGCTAAAAGTATTTATCATGCCAATTCGCATACAAATTTAATTGGACAAAAATGCAAGTACTTATCGCGCTTAATATGGTGGCAAAATGTTTCACACAATACAAAGTAGATATATTGCGCACAATTTGGATGTAGCCGTCGCCTTTTAATTCTAAAACTAGGTCATCAAAGAAAAAAGTAAATTTTATATTGTAAATCCAATTAAAATAAAAATCATCATAATTGGTACCAAATATTTGTTATTTGTTCATACGTGTGACCCTGCTTATCATCAGTTATTATTGGAAAGTCTTGATATAAGGGGAAATGATGCAAATGTCCGAGCGAGATCATCTTTCAATTAATATTGATTGATTGATTTTGTTGTGATCTATACACCATTATAGATTTAAACTGTTCTTATGTAATAAATAAAGAAATAAAGTTACATGTGAATTTAACAAGGAATATATAATGAGATGTGTACACGTTACACACATTTTATTGTACCCACTGTATATTTTATTTTGTTTATTTCACTTATATAATAATAATAATATTAATATGAATGTCAGTTATGGGGTTTTCCCTTTAATCTCCCTCCCTGCTTCTTTATTTATTCATTGCATCGGATTGGTCAAAATAAATATTATTCGTGTTAATCAACAACATGCATTCGTGTGTATTGAGAAATTTTGAATTGCATTTTATATATTATTATTATATTATTCAAGATGCAAACAATTAATATAAGATTATTATTAATATGGGTGATTTCTTTTTTTTTAAAAAACAAAAAACAAAATTTATTTATTTTTTGATTTTTATTTTTTCTTGGAAAGATTCTTTTCTTCTTGATTCGATTCAATTATTTTATAGTTTATTTTACATTCTTTAATAATTGGTTGATAGATTTCAATTCGTTCCTTACATTTCACAAATTATAATTTCTATCTTAAGACAACACGGAATTTACGAATTATTTTGAAAATATGTATGAAGAAGAATCAAGTTTCGGAATAATCCCAATAACAGTCGAACAATCGCTGACAATTACTAGAATAGCGTTACCTCTAAATGTGTTATCAATATTAGCATCTTCAATCGGATGTTTGGTATTTATATTTATAAGAATCTCTTATCCTCGATTGGCTGACCGAGTGATATTTCGATTAGCTTTTGCTGCAATGTTGTCAGATATTTTTTATTCGTCATTTCAAGTATTGAACTTGGTTGTGACAACCTCTGGTACATTATGTATTTTATCAACCTGGGGATGGGTATTTTCTACTCTCATTTCGGTTTTCTTTATTGATTGTATTGCTATAGTAAGTATAAAAGTTTTTTTGGAAGGGAAAGTGATCAAATAAAAAGATCGCGCGCTTGTTTATGTGTCAATGTTAACATCATTGTATATGATAATGTTTAGAACTTACAAGTTATTTTTCTACACGAATATGAAGGTCGACGTGATTTAGAAAAATACTATTTTATACTTCCAAGTGTGTTTGCTTTGACTTTATCCTTACTTCCATTGACACAAGATATGTACGGTTTTGATATACCTGAACAGTAAGTTTAAACTTCTTTTCACTAATTATTTGTTTCGCCATCAATCACTAATAAACATAAATATAATATGTAGGATTTGCTGGTATCGTTATTCCGGAACAACATTAAGTATTGTATGGCAATGGTCAACTTTGTTTATTTGGCAACAAATTTCTGTGTTATATTGTATCATAATACTGTTCGCCGTCACTTTAAAATTACGTTATGCGTCTTCGCAATTTAATAAAGCGTTTAAAGATAATGACAAAAAGATAAACGACGCTCAAGATAAAAATAACGCTAAATCAGCGACATTAGCAAAAACTAGCACTAATGTTTTATTAAAAAGAGGTACACTTATAACATCGGTGGTTAGAAAGGTGTTGTGGTTTCCAGTAGTTCCTCTGATCAGTCAAACTCCAACTTTCTTGGCTGAAACCGATATGTATTTTAGTAAGAGCATTAAATATGAACTATTACTGTTTGGTTTTGTTGCTGCTTCGATTCAAGGTAAACATTATTTTTTTACACGAGATAGATAATCAAATATAATTTATACATTAATTAATCAATATGCGTGCTTACGATTTTATATATTCGAAGGTCTATTGAATACTTTTGCATTTTCGCAAGATATTGCGGTTCAGAGAGCATATAATCTAATAAAATTGAATTGGTGGTATAATTATGTTAATAAATATGAACGATCTTATCCACATCTATCACATAATAAATCTATCTCAGCGGCAACCAATGGTAATATTAACAATGATGGTAATAGTAATAATAATTATGATAATAACAATGATGGTAATAATAACAATGATGGTAATAATAATGATGATAATAATAATAATAGTAATAATAATTCGTTAATAAAATCTCAATCAAGTATTAGAAGATCAAATAAATTGTCAACTAATACAAATAATAATAATAATAGTAATAATGATAATAATAATAAAGATAAAGATTCAATTGAACTTGATATGATGGTATTAAACATTAATGACGAGAATGACGATGACAATAACGAAATAATCACCAATAAAAAGCCAACAACAACAAATAATATTAGTAATGAGATAGATCAACAAGATCAAGAGCGATTTTCATCATCCAATTTATCTAATCCGCTTTTAATTCCAAAGCCATCCTTAGTTGAAACATTAAAATACCATTTGTTAATTCGTCTATTTGATCAACCAAAAAATCTTGACGAATTTGTTATTAGCTTCGTGCAAACATCAACAACATCAACCGTCAATAACAATTTAAAAAACACTTATTCAAAAAGAGGCAATGTCGAAATAATAAATTTAAAAAAAACAAGAAAATCATCAAGTATAGAAATTCCATCTTCTTCAGACTCGATAAATAACAATCATGATGGTTCTAGATCAGAGAATTTTAATAACAACACTTTCCGATTAACGCCAAATTCATCTCCAAAAACATTATTAAATTTCCCAACATCATCACCAATATCATCACCATCACCACCACCACCACCATCATCACCACCACCATCATCACCATTTCATTACACGCCACCTTCGCCATCACCATCATTAAAAAATCATCAATCATCTTTATCAAAATCATCAAATTTAATACAGAGTTCATTTTCTAATAATGATAATAATAGTAATAGTAATATAGTTGCAGTCACTGGACAACCACAAGAAGAAGAACAAAACAAAAAGAACGAAGAAAAAGAAAACGCCAATCCTACCAAGATAATAAATTCTAATAATAATGATGATAATGATGATGATGATGGTGATATAATAACAAATAAATCTTTCTCGCACTTAAATCATAATAAAAATACATCAAATTCAATAAGCTCAATCAATTCGTCTATTTATAGTAGTTGTTATAGCGGTAATAGTATAAGAGGTTCAAATCAACCCGTCAACAAAACCAATAATAATGATAATATTCATATTCAATTTACGGCAGTAAATGAAAATACTAATTATGATGGAATAACTATTATTAATATTGATAAAGTTGAAGATATTGTTGAAAATAATAATAATAAAGAAAAAGAAGATAACGATGATGATGGTGATGATAGTAAAATTAATGAAATTATAGAAATTATAAGTAATTCTCGTAATGAGGATAATATTAATAAGGTTAATCTAAATAACAATACCCATGACAGCAATAATATCGATATATGACATTTTCAAAAAGTTAATAAATAAATAATTATATAAAATATTTAATCCTTCAATATTAGTTGTAGTGAGTGAGTTCATTTGTATTTGTCAAGTACCACATAAGGAATGAGAAATCCTAATTTATTCAACAAACTCTCTTTAACACGCAATTTGAATCCATAGGTTTATCACACATATAACACAAAATAGCGTTGTCACGAAACATTGTTTTTGCTGAAGCAACAACAACAATAATAATAAAAGCAACATTTATTTAATGTTGTGATCGAAACCAGTTTAAGGAAATTTCAATCCTAAACTTTCCAGAAACATAAACCGTTACCGAAGCCCAAAATTAATTTGTGCGCTAATTTGAATTTCACGCGTGAATTGCAAATTCACATAGATTTCATTTTCACGCACGACAGTTCTATGAATTAATCCTCCTATTTTTTATCTTCTCAATATTTACATGCTTTCTCAAAATTAAAGTCTTCAATTTCAGGTCCATTTAATAAAATCATTAAATGATTATTTAATGTATCAAGATTCATTTTGTTCCTTAATTTATCCTTAATCAACTTTGTTTGGGAAAATATTCTTACTACATTAGCATTTGAAAGAGGTATAATAAGAGATATTTTAACTAGAAGGGATATATTTGGGTAATTAAAAAAGTCTTCATCTGTGTCAAAACCAATTTACAAAATATATAAAATGATCCCACGTTTTTGGTGTAACATGCTTGCGTCCGCACACTGAATTTCCAAAGTTAGATTCGAGAAGTTTAGGGTTTCGGGCCTCGGATATCTTCTCTCGAAAGTATTCCGGACAGCATTACGCTCATTACAAATTAATAATTCTGTACTATATTTTATTTATCCTTTAATTGATCATCTTTTTCATTTGAACTTTTTTCATCCTTATTTGGAGGGAAAACAGTAAAAAATAAGCTACAATATACGTGTGACATTATTGGTAAATGCACGGATAATTCACGTTATTTTTTATCGTTTTCCCGACAATGTCTAAAATTAGTGAAGTCTATGGATCAGCTTTACATGAAACTGGAAACAGTGTTTCATATCATTTTTTTTATTGTTATTTAACAAGTGTTCGATAAGCATTGATTCAGATATTAATATTAATATGCAATTTTTTGTCACCTCGCTCCCAAAATCGAATAGCAAATTTCGATGATACTAACACCAATATTATTTAAAAAATACCTTCTGATATTTTTATAATAATAGGATTTTATATAGTGATTTAATATTTAGCTAAACTATATAAAGGTAAATATTATACGTTAACTTTTAAAACATCATCTAATTAAGTAATTTATCTTTTATTTCTTTATAATAACCTGCTTTGTTATATGGAGCATACTGCAACAAAACCAGATAAAGTGAACATTTGTACTAAAAAGGATTTCAGCGAGTCATCACAATTTTACTACCAATGCAATACGGTTCCATACAGAATAATTGGAGCAATTAATCCAAAAACATGAAATCGTATTTGGCTTACTTTTCTTTCACCTTTACTTTCACTCGGTTGTTCAGGTTTTATCTGGCTTAATTTGATTTGTTGAATTTTGCTTTCTAGTTTTGAGTTTGAACTACCATTTTGTTTCTTTGCTCGGTTATAGAGACTATTGGATTTAAATGGTGATTTATCAGAAAATACTTTGACAAATTCTACGAACAAAAGAGTCAGAAGACAGTTTCGTTTAATTTTATAAAAAGCCAAGATCAGCCAATATTTTTGTAATACAATCAAAAACCTGTATATAAATAAATTTATTATAAATTTTTAAATTTATTTAAAATTATAATTATGCGACCATTATCAATTTTTTTTATAATAGTCATAGTTATAATCTCACCTACATTTATTTATTTAAACTCAAGCATTCAAACCCGAGAAAATGAGTCTTATTTAACAGATTTAGAATCATCTTTAATATCTAACAACAACAACGACAACGACAACAACAACAGCAACAATGATATTCCCGACATTTCTTCTAAGGTTATTCATGGCTCTGTTGTAATGCCATTGTTGGGAAACGCGACCATAAAGTATGTTTATTAATTTTATTGATTTAACAAAAAACAAAATTTTTTAATTGTGAATAAATAAATTTATAAATAAATATTTATTGTAGAGCTGAGCTTGGACGTAGTAGTTGGAAGGTAAAGGTTAAATCAATTTAATTTAATTGATTATGAAATAAATAAATAATTAATTAATTTAGATCTCTTTTTTTAAAAAAAAAGTTATTACATACAATGATGGCAAGATTTCCTGAACATCCTACAGAAGATCACAAGCAAGCATTAAGAAGTTTTATTTATTTATTTGGTAGATTATATCCTTGTGGTGAATGGTAAGAAATTTTTTGTGAAAGTTTGAAATAAAAATATAGATATTTAACTATTCTCATTAAATTGATGAAATAATTAGTGCCACAGAGTTTCAAGAAATTCTTAGTAAATATCCCCCCCAAGTATCATCAAGGGAAGCTGCATCTCAATGGGCATGTGCTGTTCATAATATTGTTAACAAAAGGTTATATAAAAAAATATTTGATTGTGGATTAATTGCTGAAAAATATAAATGTGGTTGCGATGATGATGGTGGTGATGGTGAAATAATGAAATAACAAAGTAATAAATTTTTTAATGATTTAATAATATAATTTTAATATAGTATTGTAATTTTAGTTTAATAAAATTATTTGTTGATTGAATAATATCAGATGGATATCTATACATCTGATGAAAATCATGCATCAATGTTAATAATATATTAAATTTGAACGTGCAAACCTCCCTCCGTTTTCTAACAATTTCTCATCTCGGGCTCCAACCAAGGAATACCCACCAATTCAAATATTTCTTTTTCACTTGAAGCATCGATACGTTTACGTGGCCAAGTATTAGTGAAAAGTCCGTGTGACGCAAAAATAATTCCCTTTTCCTATTAAAAAATTGTTTTTTATTAATAATTTTATATTCCTGTATATAAATACGAATACGAATACAGATATATTTATATTACCTTTCTTGCATAATCTTTAAAAGTTCTTTCAAAATGTCGAGATCCTAAATGTTTTCATATTATTATTTTTTCAAAAAAAAAAAAATATATATATATAAATGATAATGATGCCTACCTGTCCATCCCAATACAGCCGTAGCATACTGACTTTTGGGTGCAATAATTATATCAACTTGACGATGTATATTTGCACTCTGTTGCCAAAATGCAATAAAACACTAATAATAGATTTTTTTTTAATTAAAAATATCAAAGGTAAAAACTAATTAACATTAATATTCTTTATATATGTAACAAAAACCTTATCAAGCCTATCCATTATATTTTTACGTCGTTTTAACAATCCACCTTTTATATATTTTGAATTACGTGCACTTGATGATTCACTATACCAAAGTTTATGTTTTAAAAGACCTTGAAGGGAAGGGAAAAGATATTTTTTAGTTGCAATATATTTTTTTTTAAAAAAGAAAAAAAAAATTATATTTATTTATTTATTAATCAAAACCTTTATCAGCAAGTCTGTTCACTATTTTCTTTAATATAAATGGTTCTAATTCTTCTTCAGGATGCGATAATATCACATCCAAATCCCCATTAAATTCTTTACCTCTAAAATTAAAAATTTGGAAAGCTTATTTATATATTTAAATTATTATATATATAATTGATTTATTAGTTACCTACGATAACCACCAACAATTGTTAAGAAATATTGTGAATCAATGCTTTTGACTTCTTTATTCAAAATTTCGAAAATTTCTTCAACATCTTCACGTGTCATTCTAAAATAAAGGTAGTGAACGATTAGATAATAATATAGGTATAATATTATTTCAAATAATAATAATAATTTGTGGATTGTACTTTTTCTGAAAATCATCAAACACTTCCAATCCTATTTTTTGTACATTTGTTAAATTTGGATCTTTCTTACAATCATCTATTGTCTCGTATCCTTTATTATACCATTCGTTTGCTTTCTTAGTTCCAACGCCTTACGGCATATAATAAATATATACTATTATTATTATTATTATTCAAAAAATTAAAAACCCCCTTGTAAAATATATTACCAAAAACACGTGTAAATAAATCCAATGTTAGGAATCTAGGATCATCCAGTATTTTTTCTGCTTCAGGGATTGTATCCAATTCAAAATATTTTTTAATAAGATTTCCAATCCTATCACCAATACCTTTTCAGAATTAAAATTTAAAATAATTCATTATTATCATTATCGTTTATGATAACGGCCTTTCAACTATATAAGAAAAAAAAACGGTTTTTAACCTTTAATCTTCATGGCCTCTTTATAACTTTTTACATCGCGTGGGTAAGCCTAAATCATTATAAATAATAATAATAATAATAATAATTAATAAAAGTAATTACCCTCATTATCCAAAAATGAATTATTAATATGTTTATACTTTTAAAGCCGCTATTGCTCTATGATAACCTAATGCGCTAGCATGTTCACCATTAAGTTCTCTTGATCGTTCTAAAACTGAAAGGAATTCTATAATGGATTGATTATATTGAGATGCAAGTGGTGTGGGACGAAGGCAAGCATATTTTGTATTTAAAAATCTAGAATCTAATTCTTCTTCACCGTCTGACAACACTAAAAATTTGATTATCAAATGGGATAATACAAATAAGTGTAAATGCGGAAAATGTGTCAAGGTGTAAAGGTGAAAATAAAAACCTTCTGCATCTGATTTATTGCCACCATCCTCTGAATTGCTTGTAATGCTACTACGAGAATCCGGATCACTTTGTGTATCTTTTCTTTCATTTTTTTGTAATGAAATCAAAAAATTATCATAGGGAGCTCTCTCGCCAATTCTATTGCTATTAAATTAGTTAATTTATTATTATCATTGCTGTTATTATTATTACTTTTAATAAATTTACCAACCATTCCTCAATCCAATCAATCGATAAGATTAATTTGCTTAATTCAGGTGAAATATATCTTATTATTCTTGCAGGAGATTTTAAGATCGTCAATATTACATCTGCATCGTTGACACTATTAACAATTTCACCACCAACATTTTCAATTAAATTTTGTAAAAATTCGATTTTTTCTTTTTTTAATTTTGCATCTATTAAATAAAATTTCCAATTTTTAAAGTATTCCTTCATTATTCTTTCCTTTGTCTTTAAAATTAATAAAATAAATTACCACAAACCTCTATCCTTTTTTTATATTAAAATTTGTGCAAACAAACAATAAATAAATAGCTAATGATGATGATATCAATTATAAATGCTGTAATCCGTAGTAGGTGACTTGTGATTGGATGATGATATCAAATATAAAATTGTAGAGATTCATAAAAAAAAAATTTTCTTTATAAAAAAAATGATTTTAATTCGTAAACCTATAATAATAATAAATCCTTTCAAAGCTTTAAACAGATCTTTTTTTCAGAATCAATCCATCACAATACATAATAAAAATATCAATTTAAAATCTTTTATTAGTAACAATAATAACAATAGTAAAATTTGCTATTTTTCAACAGTTTCAACAATCAAAAATTCCATTAATAATAATGGCACTATCACCACTACCACCACTACTATTAAGGGCTTTACTACTAGAAAACCGAAACCTTTACCACAATTAGAAAAAGAAAAGGCTAAACGTGTTTTCTATGGGGTGGTTGGTGTTTCAATGTGGATAGTGGCGACTGTTTGTTTTTTTAATTATGAACGTGTCAACAACAATATAATTCAAACAAGTCTACTTCATATTAAAAAGAATCCATTAGCCATAGAAACTTTAGGGAATAATATTGGTTTTTCTTCAAGTTGGCCTTGGGTTATTGGAAAAGTTAATATTTTGAAAGGAAAGGTGGATGTGAAATATTCTGTGAAAGGAAATAAAGGTAGGTTGATTTTATTATAATATTAATTAATAAATTTTATGCATAATTTAATGGTATTTGCATATGATATGATTATGAATTTAACAGCTAAAGGTAAAATTCATTTTCGTGCAATCCGTATTCCATTGGAAAGAAATTGGAAAGTCTTGGAATTTTCATTGACAAAAGACAATGGAGAAGTTGTCTTGCTTAAATTACCAAACGAACAATTTTTTCATACTTAAAAATTGAAAGAGATGTTAAATATTTATTATTATTAATCATTTTTTTGTGTACATGAAAATTTTCTATTTTGTATAAATATACATGTGAATATATATATAAGTGTGTTGATTATTATAATTATTATAATTAACAGTTCTACTATTTAATTATTAATTATTTTGTTTCTCTTGAAATCCAATTGAACCATTTTCAATCTTTGAAGTTTTGTTTTTTGTTTTTGAAATCAAATATTGTTCTAATATTATTACATTCCTTGAATTCGCTTTATATAAAAAATCTATAAAATCTCCCAAAAATGGTGTTAAGCTCAACTAAAAAAAAGGAAAATTTTTGTCAGAAAATTTTTTTTTTTAATATAATGTAAAGAAATCTTATTTTAAACAATATATGTAAATTTACCATAAAGTCAACAAATATATTCAACAACATTAGAAATATGAGAAATTGTGGTAAATTAATCTCTCTTGATTTCTTCACCAACATTAGTGATAACCAAACCCCCATAAAATCACCAATAACTGGTAAACATCCTAGATAAAATAAAGATAAATTCAATAAAAATATATATCAAGTCAATTTAACAAATATAATTTGATTATTTACCAATAATTGGTTCTAGTCCAATTCTAATTCCACAAATCGAACAAAATCCATTATCTAAATAATGTGCTCTTTTTTTAACAATTTTTAATGTTTTTGCCTCTTTTTCTGTTAATCCAGCTGGAATGTTCCATTTATTTTTTTTACTTTTACCATTACTTTTATTATTATTATTATTATTATTATTATTGTTAAAACTATTATTGTTGTTGTTGTTGTTGTTGTTGTTGTTGTTGTTGTTGTTGTTGTTGTTGTTGTTGTTAATGTAATTGTTGAAATTCTTGTTTATATTATTATTATTATTAATGTAATTGTTGAAATTCTTGTTAATAATATTATTATTATTAATGTAATTGTTGAAATTTTTGTTAATATTATTATTATTATTAATGTGATTGTTGAAATTCTTATTAATATTATTAATGCTATTAATGTTATCACTATTAATGTAATTGTTGAAATTATTGGCTATTTTTGCATTGGGTGGTGCATTGGGTATGTTGGATGTTTTCTCTAAAACATGATCTACAACTTTATTTGTAACGTAAGTTTTCAAACTCATTTTTTTTAAATTTATTAATTAAAAAATAATTACTCAATAATTATTAATTAATTGTATATTTATTAAAGAAGGTAAAATATAAAAAAAATGAGTTTGAAAAAAATTAGGATTTCTTTTTTTTCTTTTTTTTTTTTTTAAAGACGAAATAGTTCGCTTATTTATAATAAATAAAACAATCGATCCTAAATTTAATTATTGATTTCATCATGTTGTTCTAATCAAATTGAATTTGAATTGTCTTGTATTATAAAAGAAGAAACAACGTTTCAAAGATCTTCAATCCTATATTTAGAAAATTTGAATGCAGTCAGGGAAATTTCCAAACACGGGAATTTCCAAATACTCTGATGATCTACGTTCTAGAATTTATGTGGAAATTCTGCAAAATAAACTAGAAAGGATTTGACGATGATGTTGATGATGTAAATTATTAGTAGAAGCAGCTGCCTTTTGAATCAGATAAACACTTTGTTGTAATTCATCATTATTAGTAGAAGAAGTTACTATTTGAACTGGATATTTCGTCATTATTAGTAGAAGCTTGCTTTTTGGACCTGAATGAACACTTTATTGTTGTTGTTCATCATTATTAGCTTAGCAGAAGCTATTTTTGAACTGGTTTTTTGTTTTCATTTTTAGCCTAATTCACAAAACTCAAATGTCTTTTTTTTTTTCAGAATTTTTTTTGGATCGTTTAATGGAAACAACAAATTTGTTCCTTCCGATCAGCCAATAAAAATTAGTCTTGATTGTGTGAAAGGAACAAGAGAGCTTTGACAATGATCTTTCATTCCTTTGGAATATTCGAAATACATAAGAAGACTTTTGATAATAGCAATGGATGGAATTTTAAATAGTCATAAATATTCGAATAACCATAATCATAAATGTTTCGATAACTAAATGTGCTGCAGATATTAATATTAATTTGATTTTATTATCAAACGATCGTTGACTACTAATATATTTGATCCTCTTAAACCTAACCAACCTTTTTGATGTACAATATAATAATTTGATTGACCCCAACACTAAGTTAATTGAAATTTAATCAATATATTAATTTGACCCAGCTGCACACTAACCTATCTATGAAGTTTGCGGGGTCCTCTTGCACCATATTTTTTTTTATAAGCAAGCTTGCTTTTCATATCAATTTGCATATCGCAAAAATGTTTGTGAAATTTATATAAAAATTGAGCAATAAATCGACATGAAAATTGACCCATTCAAAAACCAAAAGGTCACATTTAAAGATAACTTGCACTATTAAGCGGGATGGTTATATTTAAAACACAAAAGAAAGAGTTTCGTTCCTTAATTAAAACAGAATATTATGTAAAATACATAAAATATTTACATCGACCAACCAATCAACAATTGCGATACGGTTTGCGACTTGCAACATCGCACTATTTTTGACGATGATTGCAACTATTTTCGCGTCCAGTATCTCTAGTAAATAAGGGCGTTGCAACTGAATATAAAAGGTGGCCCGAAAGAATATCTCTACGTTAGTATACTTTTCATGTAATACAATGCACGTTATCACATGATATGTAAAAAGATCTCTTTGTTTATCAGCTTGCATAATTGTCGGTTTCAAAAGTGGTTTTATCCATTACAATATGAATTAATTTATAAAAATATTGTTTATTGAATCAATAATAAAAATATTATATATAAATATAACTTAATGAATAAATGTAATAAAAAGACGAAAGTAAAGTAAAATAATAAATGAGAACAATATAAATTAATTATTCTTGAGGAACAATTTTTTGTAATTAATAATAAATTATTTTTTTTTTCATTGCTTTCTATTATAAAATGAAAATTAACAGTTAATATTTTTTCAAAAACAAATGATATTGACTGTAATCATAATGATGATGATGAAATACTTACCAACTATTTATTATTTAAATTATTTAAAACAAAATGAAAATCAACAGTTATTTTCAAAACAATGATATTGGCCGTAATCATAATAATGATGATGAAAATACTTACAATCTATTTATTATTAAAGTAAATGAAAATCAACAGTCAATATTTTTCAAAAATATTGAATGTAATGATAATGATGAAAATACTTACAAACTTAATATTAATGTTTTACATTATTTTTTTTTTTTTCATTGCTTTCTATTATAAAATGAAAGTTAACAGTTAATATTTTTCAAAAATATTTGATTTTAATAAAGCCGTTCAAATTTAGAAATCTGTTTAACATCTTTTAGAAAAATAAAAATTCTTTAGTTTAAATTCCAAATTTCCGAAAAAAAATGGGTGGTGATGTTAAACAGAACTTCAAGTTTGAACGCCTAATGATGACAATGATAAAAATACTTGCTTCCTATTTATTCTTTAAACCAAAATGAAAATCAACAGTTAATACTTTTCAAAAACAATGATATTGACTGCAATAATAATGATGATGACGAAAATACTTACGTGCTATTTATTATTTAAAATAAAATGAAATCAACAGTTAATATTTTTCAAAATCAATGATATTGACTAATGATAATGATGATGAAAATAATACTTACGTGCTATTTATTATTTAAAATAAAATGAAAATCAACAGTTAATATTTTTTCAAAAACAATGATATTGTATTGACTGTTAGTAATAATAATAATAATGAAAATACTTACACTCTATTTATAATTTAAAATGAAATGAAAATCAACAGTTAATATTTAATGATATGAATGTAATAATGATTATGATGATGAAAATACTTACTGCCTATTTATTGTTTAAAATAAAATGAAAATCAATAGTTAATATTTTTTCAAAAATAATGATCTTGAATGTAGTAATATAATGATGAAGAAAATACTTACCGCCTGTTTTATTATTTAAAATGGAGTGAACATCAATAGTTAATATTTAATGATATTGACTGTAATAATGATAATGACGATGATGAAAATACTTTACCGCCTATTTTATTATTTAAAATGAAATAAAAATCAACAGTTAATATTTAATGATGTGAATGCAATAGTGATGATGATGATGATGAAATACTTACCGCCTGTTTTATTATTTAAAATGGAGTGAACATCAATAGTTAATATTTAATGATATTGACTGTAATA